AAAAAAAAAAAAAATGGCCGGGCGCGGTGGCTCATGCCTGTAATCCCAGCGCTTTGGGAGGCTGAGGCAGGCGGATCATGCATGAGATCAAGAGATGGAGACCATCCTGACCAACATGGTGAAACTCCATCTCTAAAAAAAAAAATTTTTTTTAATTAAAAAAAAAACTTGACATTCCATTATTTATTTTTTATTGCATATCATATGCTTCCTGGTGCCAGAGTACAATCTCCAGAAAGGCAGAAATGTTTACCTGACTTGTTACCATATCCCCAGCATCTAGCATATGTTCTGGCATATAATAGGCTCTCAATTAATGCTTGTAAAGAAATGAACACACAAATTAGTGAATAGAAAACATTCATGAAGGCTGCTGTTCTAGAGTAGCCACTAAAAGGACAGGAAAAAAGTATGTAATTTTTCAAACTAGTAGAGAGAAAAAAAACCAATAAGACACAATTGTATAGTTTCCTAGGGTTGCCATAACAAATTTTCATAACCTAGGTTTCATAACATAGAGAGTAATTTTAAGGAATTACACTCTTTCAGAACTTAGAAGTCCAAAATTAAGGCATCAGCCTGGTTATGCTCTACCCAAAGACTCTGCAGGACGATCTTTTCTTGCCTCTTCCAGCTTCAGGCGGAAAGCAATCCTTGGTTTGTTTTTGTGTTTGTTTTTTGTTTTTGATAGAAGCAGGGTTTCACTATGTTTTTTGCCAAGGCTAGTCTCAGACCCCTGGACTCAAGCAATCCTCCCACCTCACCCTCCAAAAGTACTGGGATTATAGGCGTGAGGCACCATGCCTGGCCAATCCTCGGTGTTTCTTGATTTGTGGCCACATAACTCCACTCTCTGCCTCCCGCTTCATATGGCTGCCTTCCCTCTGTGTGTGTGTCTGTGTCTGCCTCTCTTCTCTTCATATAAGGGTATCAGTCATACTGGATTGAGGGCACACATTATCACTTAGCTAATTTTTGTACTTCTTGTAAAGATTAAGTTTTGCCATGTTGCTCAGGCTGGTCTCAAACTCCTGACCCCGGGCAATCCACCTGCCTCAGCCTCCCAAAATGCTGGGATTACAGGCATGAGCCACCATCTCTGGCCCAAAATGTCTTTTTATTTTTCAAATTTTTATATCTTTTGGCTAATCTTCTCTGTATTATTCCAATTTTAGTATATGTGTTGCTGAAGTGAACACACTTTTATTCTGTGGGTTCTTCCTAGCCACTGTACAAGCCCAGAATATCTGAGGTGGAATTCACTAGAACCATAGGTATTCTTTTAAAATATCCCTCAACACATTAGCCAGTTTGTAAAAAGAATTCAAAGAAATATAGAGTTACAGATTGATGTAATTTATTCTCCCCTCCTCCTTGTTAGAATTTCCAGTTTTTCTGTCTCCAAATAGCCAGGGTTAGAAGATGGGTTCTTATCCCCACACTGCAGAGATCTCTCTCATCTATAGAACAAGAGTACAGCGGCCTCCGTTATCTGCTGACTGCAGCTGCCCTTAACGTGAGCTCCATATCCATTCCAGTCAAAGGCAGAGAAGTCCCCACACTGACGGGGATTGCCGTCTGGGAAGAACCCTCCTCCACCGATGCAGTGCTGGGAAACAGAAAGAAGAGACACCGTGAGGGATTTGATTGGCTGCTGACACCAGTGAGCCCAAGGCTGGTCTTGAATGCCAGACCTCAAGTGATCCACCCGCCCTGGCCTCCCAAATTGCTGGGATTACAGACATGAGCCACGGCACCCGGCCCTGTGCATGTATTTTAAAGAAGCAATGCATGCAGGAACATTCACAAACATGCACTAATAGACAGTCTAAGGAGCAAGGAGCAAGTGGAGAAGGTTGTCAAGGAAAAGGGCATAAAGACACATACTCTAGTCCACCCCCAGTGCCCACATGACCAGCATCCTCTGAATTCTAATCTACGAGTCCCTCCATGAGCACATAGCCACCTCATCTTAGCTGGAAAATGCACAAGCTGATAGGTGAGGCAGGGAAGTGAAGATGCAGCTGTGAGTTCAGACTGTGCAGTTGGGGAGGGGAGGGGGCCCTAACTGAATGCCCTGGTTCTTGATGGTTCTGATGCTGTCTACCTCCAGCCCCCTCAAATACAGTCTCCAACCACTACAGCTATGGTGCTCCCTCCTACAAGACTGGAAGAACAATAAAAATATAAAACTTCTAGAAGTTAAGATTAATATCGGAGAATATTTTCATGACCTCAGTGTAAGGAGGTATGTCTTACAGAAAACACAAAAAGTACTAACCATAAATGAAAACTTTGAGACGGGCGCAGTGGCTCACGCCTGTAATCCCAGCACTTTGGGAGGCCGAGGCGAGTGGATTACCTGAGGTCAGCAGTTCAAGACCAGTCTGGCCAACATGGTGAACCCCCATCTCAATAAAAAAATAAATAAATAAAATTTTGATAAACTGAATTTCATTAAATTAATTATAATCGGCCAGGCACGGTGGCTCACGCCTGTAATCCCAGCACTTTGAGAGGCTGAGGTGGGCAGATCATGAGGTCAGGAGATCAAGACCATCCTGGCTAACATGGTGAAACCCTGTCTCTACTAAAAATACAAAAAATTAGCCGGGCATGATGGGATGTGCCTGTAGCCCCAGCTACTCGAGAGGCTGAGGCAGGAGAATCGCTTGAACTGGGGAGGTGGAGGTTGCAGTGAGCTGAGATTGCACCACTGCACTCCAGCCTGGGCGACAGAGCAAGAATCCATCTCAAAAAATAAATAAATAAATTATACTCAACTTCTGGCATCTACTACTCCAAACTTTGAAACACTTCATTTTTGTTAAAAATCAGGACTCTTCGGCTGGGGGCGGTGGCTCAAGCCTGTAATCCCAGCACTATGGGAGGCCGAGGTGGGTGGATCACGAGTTCAAGAGATCGAGACCATCCTGGTCAACATGGTGAAACCCCGTCTCTACTAAAAATACAAAAAATTAGCTGGGCATGGTGGCGCGTGCCTGTTATCTCAGCTACTCAGGAGGTTGAGGCAGGAGAATTGCCTGAACCCAGGAGGCGGAGGTTGCGGT